AATAATTCATACCTTAGACATTAGAGATTAGGCAAAATAAGATTCTTACATAAACCCAGGATATTTCTAGACATGAAAATGTGTGACATCCACAGATTTCAAATGACAATAAGTTGTCTCCCTCATCCCAACTCCACCATCACCACCAGCTCCAATTCCTTCTTAGAGTGAGGAAGAAAAACATTATATACTGAAAACTATATTTGAGACCTTTCAGGTGACTGTTTTGGGGGAAGGACAATACTTTCACATCCTGAAATTTATTATTTAAAAATACTTATTTCGATCACACACACACACACACACACACACACACACACACACACACACAAACTTACCTGTAGTTCTTGTTCTCTGAAGGAAATGCAGTAATTGTAAACATCCCCACACTCTTGGGTACATTCTCCTAAGTGTGAATGGATTTGGAATGCACCATAACTTAGCCTCAGAACTGCTAAATTATACCACCCTGTTCTGGCAGTTGGCATCCATCTGCCTACGTAAATAATAATGTAGGCCCGTCACCTAGAGTCATGTAGCTTGTGAAGAAAAGTATTCTCTGAGAGGGAGGTGGTGCAATGGCTGTCTTTGGAGACAAACAGTCTTTTCTGCAGCGCTTAAGGAGGGTAGATCCACGCTACTAAGGAGGTGACTGTATGCTTCAAAAATAGTACTAAAATTAATACATTAAAAATGTTAAAGAATGAAAACGAAAAGATGTTCGTTCTGCAAAAGAAGCCCTTAGGAGACTGACTGTTGAACTGGTCAGGATCCAATGGTCAACACCAGAGCAAAGAATTACAAGTACTTAAATACTTGTAATGAAGTAAGCCTAATCCTGGCATTCAGTAGCCTTGTATTTTGTGTTAATGCTTGACTACCGGAGATTTATGTGACAGATGCAATGGAAATCAATGGTAGGAAAATACCTTGAAATGGCCGAGACCCTGAAAATTGCTGTGGTAACTGCCAAGGGAGCACTAGTTTCAAGAAAAATGATAGCAGCAATGTGCTGTTAGATGATCTATATTTTATAAATTCAAGTAATCATTCAAATTATAAAATTTCATAAACCTTATACCTAAATAATTTTGATTTAAAATGTTTAAATATGTATGGACTAAGTGCCTCTTCTGTCTTAAACCTACTAGATAATTAGGAAGAAATGGGCTACAGATTTTTTCTAGTTTACAGGCTGATTTTTGGAGGGTTAATAAAATCCTGCACAGAGGAAGAGATACTTTATTTTCTAGTCGTCTAAGATTCCAGGCAGCCTGATAATGTCCTCTTCTCAAGTTAAACCAGAGAAGGGTTGTCAAATAAAACAGAGGATACTCAGTCAAATTTGAATTTTAAATAAGCAGTAACTTTTTTGGTAAAAGTTTGCCCCAAATGTAGCATGGGACACAATTACACTAAACAATTATTTGTTATTTACTTGAAATTCAAACTACACTGGACATCCTATTTTGTTTTTTACTTCTGCTAAATTTGGAAACACTAAAAGGCGGGGGGGGGGGTCATACAATGGACTTTAGCATGGATGAGGCTAAAATGAGAATTCCATTCATTGTCTAGATCTGAACTGTGGAATATGGTAGTAACTAGCCATGTCTGGCTATCAAGCACTTTAACTGTGGCTAGTCCAATATAAGATGTGCTGTGAGTATAAAAAACACAGATTTTGAATGCTGAGTATGAAAAAAAATCTCATAAAATATTCTAGTAATTATATGTTGAAATTATATTTTTATATATATTGGGTTAAATAAAATGTAATAAAGACTAATTTTGCCTTTTTATTTTCTTAACATGGCCAATAAAAACTTAAAATTACATATGTAGCTGCTATTTATGGCTCAAATTATCTTTGTGCTGGTTTAGATGCCTCGAAAAACAAAAATTTGTTGTTGTCCCATCTCTAAAAAAATCAGTATTGGCAAACACGTAAGACTGCTTCTCTCACCTCCCTCCAGCTATCAGAGTAGGTAAAGAGCATGATTATGCCAGGGAAACAAAATTTCTAGTAGGGACTAGCATGAACTGGCTAAGACCACTTCAAAAACAAAAACAAAATGTGGTGCACCAATACTGATGAAAGACAAATCAGAAACCTGATCTTTGACAAATCATTCTTATGTGATTAAAAAAATACTAATATGGATGTGTGTATATGTACACATGAGAATCAAATATTCTCCCAGATATTAGTTTCAATGGAAGAAGCCCTTGGTACCATTATTTTGTGTTTCTCTCCTACACATGATCAAAATCATAGAACAATAGTTGATTTTATTACCTTCTATGAATTGAGATGGATAAGTTATTAGTAAAAATTGTTAGAAAAAGATCTTATTTTTGATACTATAGAGCAAGATCTCACAGGTTCCCATTTTATTTATACATGCTACAAAACTAATCTGAAATTAGAACACTAGTTCTAGGATAGTGAAATAAACTTTTATTTGCTAAAATATGTACTATCATAAAACAAAGCTCACTTTTAAAAAGATGTATGTTTGGAGAGCCTTCTTAGATTAAAAGTATTTTAGTTATAATAAACCTTTAGTTTGGGTAAGAAATAATAACCTATATCGTTATAACCCACCTTATAATTTTCATTAGGTTGGAAATTTAATTCAAAGTGTTCTCTCAACTGGCTAAAAGAGATAACACATTTGTCCATTCTATTCTATGCTATTATAAGGCTAAGATATTTAACATGCTCTCACAAATAAAAATTCAAAAAAAATTGTATACATATATACAATCTCTATATACCCAATAATCTGTATTTCTTTTCTAAGAAGCCCTACATGATGTCTATTTTGAAGATTTAAATCTTTTAAGTTTACCTGCAGTTAAAGTAACCAAGGCGAGTTCTAACTCCTCAACAATTTACATACAAAAAAAGTAAATTGGTTCTCAAGGTTTTTCAAAAAGGTCCCAGCTGTAATTTTTTCTTACTCTAACAGCAAACACACAAGTGTTTTTCCTCTTTAGTGTCTTTTATTAAACAGCTATAGGAAGAGCAACAGTTTCGAAAAGACAAAAAAATTATCCTGCATCAGAGGTAGGGTTGCCGGACAAAAATCAGCACATTACTCCCCAATTTAATGGTCCATAAGAAGTTCACACTTTGTAAAACTAAAGTTTTCAGGATCATTTTAAGAGCTTTAAGAAAAATGAAATGGACAAGTTTAATTTCTTCATCAGTACTTTAAGTTCTCATTGTTAATACTACAGAATACTGGGGATTACAATCTAAAATGTTTTACTAGACATTTAGTCTCTTGTTATTCTAAGTATTCTTGTTTAAGAGTAGCTTAATCCTAGTATTAATGACATTTTCAAAATCAGCATGCTTCTGTTCTTCTCCATAGTCAATTATATTTAAGTGACACTTTAATTTAAGATTGGTCATTCTGAGAGACATCTATAGATTATGTAAGTGAACAATAAGGTTTTCTGATAGTACAATTTGGAAGTAAAGCACAGACATTGATTTGTTTATCCTTCATAAGGTTTCCCTGATAGAACCAACATATCTATTCTTCATTTCCTGAAGACAGGAAGAAGTTGTAAGACAGGAAAGAAATTGCCAATTTTAAGTAATTTTTTCCAATTTTAAGTAATACTTTTCAATTAAGATCTGACATAAAAATTTTATGATTACATACCTTTTAAAGATTAGATGGCCTTTGCTTCCATACTTTCTGAAGGGTAATACAGATTACAAAATGGTTTAAGGGACTTTCCCTGAAGTAAAGATAAGATATAGCTTCAAAAAGATCCTGAAAAGTAATTCTTCAAAGCTGGTTGTATCCACTGAAGCTATTATGTCATTAGATTGCCTAAATGGTGTCATTGTTTCAAAATTCTTAATCCATATCTCAAGACATACAAGAAAAATTATTCATGTGGGATTAATTCCAGCAGTCATTAACTGAATAAATGCAGACTAAACTGAAAACAGATTTTACTATGACTGGGATTTTTTTTAAGTAAAACAAAACAAAAACATCCATACATCTCCAGGACATGCTTCATTTCTAAATAACAAAAAACACCTCTCGATAAATTTGTGATGTCCTACCCACAGCTCTCTAGGCCTCCCTTCTGTGAGAAAGTCTGAAGGTCTCACACCCTCAATGGAGCATTCCAAAACCAGTCTTAGGTTAGGAGCCTGGGCCCACGAGTGTGCACTCACTACACAGTGCTTACCTTTAGAGAACAAGGTGGCTGACACAAACTGATCAAGTTCTCACACCCCACACCTCCAAGAACACTGAAAAAGATCTGCAGATCTTTCTTGGTGCAGGAGGAACCTCTTTACAATCCTCTTGTGGTGGAAGTTTAAGATTGTCCTGAGGGAGGAGAGAAGAGTAAAAGATTATACTGAGATCATATCATTTGGATCAAGTTTATCTTTCTATATTACAAAACGAAGTTCTGAAAACAGAAATTAGATAAAATCATGAGTATTCTTAAAATCACATTTTCTTCTTTCACAAAAAGTATCTCCCCTAAATACTGCATGTTTCAAATATTACTCCTTAGACCCAAAACCTTAAATGACTAGTTCAATGTCTATCCCATCATGGGGAAGTTGAGAATTAAAAAAAAATAAAAATAAAAATACAGAAAAACTGTAGGTTGCCAAATGATCATAGTTATAAATTCCATTTTAAAAAATGTATAGCTAAACTCATTAAAAAGCAATGAGTTAGACAGAGCCACCAGGAATTCTGTCCTCGCTTTGTACTTCCAAGATTATGGCATATGCTATTTCCTGACAACTAACTGAAAAGTAGCCCTCTGAATTGTGTTAAATGCCACAGAATCAATAAATTAATCTAGTATAATCAATCAATCAGTTTAGTATGAATCAACAATAGAATCAATCTACTAGAATGTAAAACTCCAAGAGGAAAAGAAATTTTGGCTTTTTTGACACACTAATTATCTGTAGTACCTTAAATAGGTCCTGGTACATAATAAGCATTTAAAAAATTTTTGATGAAAAAAAGGATATTAGTCAATATTCTTAAGATTCAAACTTACATAAAATGAAACAAAAGCCTACAAATGTTCTGAGGGTTTGAAAACTAATATAAATGTTTAATTATGTATAAAATAATTGTTAAGAATATAATATCTTAAAATGCCGTATCTTAAAATATTAATGAGAAAATGCTATAAATAAATTATTATAATCCAAACTCCTTGAAAGGAGTGGGATGCTTTAAGATCAGGAAATCATGCAGAGTACTTTAAAATATATCATTAAGTATCAAATATAAGAATAATATTAATATGGACCAAAAGGAATATGCCTTTTTAATGCTTTAGTATTAACAGTTTTCATCTGTAGATCAATATAAATCAAGTGATACAATGATTGTCTATAGCAATAATTCTGCCTAAATAAATCATTACCATAATATTAAATTGAAATCAGAAGATAGCATTCTATCAGTATGATTTTCTTATGTATTTTAGTATGTACATTTTGTCTGACTGTAATAAACAAAATATTATTCATTTGTTTTCCTTTAACTATTATTAAAAACTATTATTAAAAACACAGACTTAATTCCTTTAGACGTTTGCCAACTGTTTCCAAATTTGATAGATTAGAGAGAAAAAGAAGAAATGCTGGCTGGATGTGGTGGCTCATGCCTGTAATCCCAGCAACTTTGGGAGGCCGAGGTGGACAGATCACGAGGTCAGGAGTTTGAGACCAGCCTGGCCAATGTGGTGAAATCTCGTCTCTCCTAAAAATAAAAAAAATAAGCTGGGCATGGTGGCAAGTGCCTGCAATCCCCGCTACTTGGGAGGCTGAGGCAGGAGAATTACTTAAACCCAGGAGGCAGAGGTTGCAATGAGCCGAGATTGTGCCACTGCACGCCAGCCTGGGTGACAGAGCAAGACTCCATCTCAANAAAAAAAAAAACCTCTAAGAAATGCTAAAATTAACGTCGGATTAATGGTACTGATAAAGGACTGAATATATACTTTAAAAAATCTAACATGTAATAAGTCCACTAGAATCAGAAGAAACAACTATTTATAAAGTATTTGATTCCATTTGACCCCAAAATCTCAAAATGTAGAATTAGAACTTAAAACATACTGGACAATGTGTATGGTGCATTTCATTTCACACAGTGGTTCTGACCGTATAGCAAAAGATACCATTTGCTATACGGTCAAAACCACAGTGAGAAAACAGGTAGCAAAATCCACCCTTCATTCACTAAAATAACACTTTCATGGACAGATTATGCCTTGATTGCAGGGAGTAAAAAGCTTTCCACATTTCACAAATAATCCAATTTCATATCTTGTCTCAGGGAATCAGGCTTAAATGTGAAAAAAAAACATTTAAAACTTTAGGCTAAAGAATATAAGTGTACACAAAATCTCAGTTAATTTAAAAACAATTTTCCTATTTTCAACATCCTGTAAGCCTCTGAACTAACTTTGGAGGGAAGGAGTGAAAACAGTTACAAAGAACTAAGTGCAAATAATACAACAAAAAAAGCTAAAAAGGGGTAAAGGCCAACACAAAGTTGGAAATCTTACTGAAGGGAAAAGACTGCTTGCTGGTTGAATCTCCTAGGCCAACGAGGGTGAAAACAAACTCCCAAGACAGAGGAACTGACTAGAAACTTACTCATGCTGTGGATAATGGATCCTTTGCCTCATTTCTACCTACAGAGAATGAAGTCTAAGTCTACCAAATTCAGGGATTTAGTGTTGAATTTTTCATTTCACCTGCAAATATAGATTACTAAACCATACTAATATCTCATTTTAAGATCCCTACAAAACTTCCCTGAACAACCTACTTTCCCTCCTTAACGCTGGCCAATGTTTCTCATGCAATCTGTAGTGAAGGACTGTTTTCTCCCCATTGTGGACCCATGTTAATGGACTGCCACTCATGACTATACTCAGCTCACACTACATAAAACTCTACAGGCAGCTGTGTTAAAAAGACTGGCCACCCCTGCAACCAGAGGAGATAGTTGATGTGCCTGAATGACACAGACATATCATGTGACTATGAGTTTTTAAACCAATACAGAAATTGAGAGTAAGCATTTAGTCATGGATTGATTAACAAACCAGCATAGCCCGTTCTTCAAGGAGCACTGGTATAGGCCGGACACGGTGGCTCAAGCCTGTAATCCCAGCATTATGGGAGGCCAAGGCAAGTAAATCACTTGAGCTCAGGAATTCCAGACCAGCCTGGGAAACATGGAGAATCCCCTCTCTAACAGAAGTACAAAAATTAGTCAGGAGTGGTGGCACATGCCTGTAATCTCAGCTTCTTAGGTGGCTGAGGCAGGACAATCACTTGAATACAGGAGGTGGGGAGGCTACAGTGAGCTGAAATCGTGCCACTGCACTCTAGCCTGGGCAAGAGTGAGACTCTATCTCAAAAAAAATTTAAAAAGGAGCACTGATCTAGCTTACAAAAGGAGTACTGATATAGCTTATGAGCTTATGATACTACTCCTTTATACTTTTTACTGAATCCAATTTCCAATTTTAATTCACATGTGCCCTTAGAAACTACTGACTAATAAATTATCAGTGACTTATTCCAGTATATTCCTTTACCAGTTCTTTCTACAGCACTATACAATAGAACTTTTGGCAATGGCAAAATTGTTCTATAGCTTCATTGTCCGAAAAGGTAAACATTAGCCATATATGACTCCTGCCCATTTGAAATGTGGCTAGTGTGACTAAAGTAGTGAATTTTTAATTTTACTTAAACAGATGTAAACTTAAATTGCACATCAAGCTGGTGGCTACCATACTGAATAGTATAGTGCTGAAGTGTCACATTACTATCATGTAACCTTTAAAAAAATTTAGCATTTAAAGAAATCACCTATTTCCTTCAATCCTAACAGAAATATTTTAATTGTGACTATCACTTTCCATATGTACATTTAGTTATGTACATACTTGTAATCCTGGCATATAAATTTACTATTTTATTTTCATTTATGCCAAACATTTCTCCTCATTTATAGAACTACACTATCTAAAATTGTGCCCACTAGCCCCATTTATGTATTTAAATTGAAATAATTAACATTAAATTAAAAATGGCGTTGCTCAGTTGCCCTAACCACATTTTAAGGGCTCAGTAGCCACAGGTGGCAAATGGCTACCATACTGGACAGTGCAAACATAGAATATTTCCATCTCCACAAAGTTCTCCTGAACAGTGTTATTCTATAGGCTCCAAAAATAATCATTTAAATGTAAGATTTTATGTTGCTGTTCTATAATTAGTCTTTAAGTTGGGCATTTTCTATATGCATGATTTTTAATTAGAACAGTATTTCCTAATATGTTATTATGAAATTTCTAAACATTACTGTGACTCTCAGCATGTATTTTCACGTTATTTCCCAAAAGGGTTTGTTAGCACTGCTTACTTGTAAATATTAGATTTCTTTACTTGCAAATATTAGATTTTTTTAAAAAAATTTATGTCTTTTAACACAATGAAAAAATCTCACATTTATTATTCATATTTCTTTACTTTCACATTCTTTTTTTTTTGAGACGGAGTCTCGCTCTTGTTACCCAGGCTGGAGTGCAATGGCGCGATCTCGGCTCACCGCAACCTCCGTCTCCTGGGTTCAGGCAATTCTCCTGCCTCAGCCTCCCGAGTAGCTGGGATTACAGGCACGTGCCACCATGCCCAGCTAATTTTTTGTATTTTTAATAGAGACGGGGTTTCACCGTGTTGACCAGGATGGTCTCGATCTCTTGACCTCGTGATCCACCCGCCTCGGCCTCCCAAAGTGCTGGGATTACAGGCTTGAGCCACCGCGCCCGGCCTACTTTCACATTCTTGATCTGTCATCTTCATTTCTCATTTATGTATTAGAACCTTGATATCAAACTTGCATATTTACAACAATATAACTTATAGCTACTATCACTTTCCTTGTAATTTTTGATGCAGTTTCCAAAATCTTGTATTATTCTTTTAATCATAATATTTTGTCTAACAAAAATTTTTCATCTTCAAGTATCTTCTGGGTGAGTTCTACTATTCTTCAAATATGAGATGTAAAGATATTCTCTCTGCTGCCTTCTCTTTTAAAAAATTGCTATGGTTGTATAAGATACAGATGAAAACATTTTTTGTCTAATTAGTTTTGAGGTGTATCACTGAATACCACTTAGTTTTGAGGTGTATCACTGAATACCACTATCTAACACCATTGAACAAATAT